TGACTCTATTTATGTACATATTTTTTTTAGAGACAGGTATTAAATTTTACATATAATTATTTATCACTTAACAAAAGATACAATATTTAAAAATTAGAACAAGGGACGAAGAAATTCGACAGAATAAACCGATAAATAAAAAGATAAATAAACAATAGACAGTACCTTAGGAAAAGTAGACAAAAACTACGATGGTACTTTTGGCTTTTGATATGTTTTTTATTTATACTATGTTATCATTAGATCGTAAATTTTTTTTTTGTTTGTTATTAAATATTTTTTTATTTCAATTTTAAACTTTTTTGTTTTGATTATTTGCCTGAGGTGTATCGGAATTATGTTAAAAAATTTTGGGCCAAAGAATGATAATGACCTTTGACTAAGTGATTTTTTGAAAAATTGTACAGGAATCTCCATATTAGCGACTGAGCGTGTTAAGCGGGTATTTTTTTGAGTAAAATTTTCAGCATTGGTATATATTCTCATTATACATTGATAATCAAAGAGTAATTTGACGTTTAGTATGTTCGATTCATCGTACAATTTATTTGTAGAAAATAGTCTCTCTTTTTTTTTTGGTGTTAAATGCTCCACCCCATGCTACTGTGCAATACCTTAATATAGATTCCACTAGGGAGTTATAAAGTATCATTATATTTTTCTTTGAAAGAATGTCCCGGAGAACATAAAATTTGTGCATTAGGGCTCTCAGTCTATTACTAACATGGACAATATGTTCAGACCAACGTATGTATTGATCAAGTATTACACCTAGGTATTTAATTTGAGAAACTTTTTCTATCAACGGGCAGTTACAATCGCTTTTTTGACAGTCACTACTATGCAATTTTATACAAAAGCTGTTAGGTTGATTAACGATGGTTGAACTAAAAGTAATGCATTTTGTTTTCAATACATTTAAAGTTAGTAGATTGTTATTTAACCATAAACTTATCTTTCTTAGGGCCGTTTCTCCAGCGAGTTTAACCTCTTCCCATTCTTTTCCAGCGAAAATAATTACCGTATCATCCGCATAGCATATGATATTCCCAGATAAGTTATTAATTTGTGTAATGTTGTTCATATAAACCAGAAACAGAATTGGGCCCAATACTGTTCCTTGTGGGACCCCCATCTTTACTACTGATTTAGAACTTCCGGCGTTGCCAATTTTTACGCTCTGGGTTCTTTTAGATAAATAATCCCTCAGGAGCCTTAATGCTAAACCCTGTATGTCATAGTTATTTAGTTTGTCAAGTAAAATGTTATGGTAAACGGTATCAAATGCTTTGGCCAAATCAAGAAATACTGCAGCACATTTTAATGATTCATCTACAGCGTTAACCGTCTTTTCCAAAAAATCAACTACCGCATTTTCAGTGCTTGAGTTTTGTATAAAACTGTATTGACAATTTGTAATAACATTATGATTATGAAAAAAATTAATTAATCTACTTTTTACTGCATTTTCAAAAATTTTAGCGAAGTTGTTGATAACAGAAATTGGCCTATAATTTGTAAGCTCACTAGGGTCTCCGGATTTGTATACAGGTGTGACAATTGATTCCTTCCATTGACTTGGAATTTTTCCTGATTGAAAGCAAATATTAAGGATATGCGTTACAGGAAGAATAATATATTCATTTATATTTTTTATTGTAGTTGTAGAATATTGATAGTATTTCCATTGAAGGTAATTTAGTTTTCGAAATTTATTGTTTTGTTTGATTTCATGTTAAATTGTAAAAAGCCGCCTTATCTATTTTGTTCGTTTTTTTTTCCTTCACACCGTTCGAATTTTAAAGCCAGTTTAAAATAAATCCTTTTAATTTTGCTGTAGTTCGAAATATTTTCAAACCTGATATAATATTTTGTTTACGAAAATTATTTCTTTTCGAAATAATTTTATTACTTTAAGACACCTTAATATTTTTCAAATACGACTTTGATTTTGCTTGCCCTTGTAATAGGAAACCGAATTCAATAATCGAAGATTATTTTTAATTTTGTTTTGATCGTGATTTAACGCGTAAACTGCCTGAGAGTTTGATTTTTGCCTTCTTTTCGTTTCTTCGGCATATTGAATAGAGTTTCAAGTTTGGCTTCGCCTGGCTCCCAAACTCGTCTACAGTCTCAGACTCTCTCTCTCTCTCTAGGGCCTTTCCTTCCGACATTTTGGACAATATCTGAAACGTTTCGGCATCGCTCCCAGATACTGTTTCAATAAGACCTTATATCGAATTAGGGTGAATCTGGATTCATTTTATTTCGGTACTAGGTTATATGTCCATCGTGTGTCATTACTAATTACTAGGGCCGTAACTCATCCGTTTTAAATCTACCCCGTTCCGTGATTTAGATAGGACTAACATCGTTGACTGGTTTGGCTATTATCTGAATTGTATGTCGATTCGACTGGAAACCTTAGGAGTTCACGAAGACGTTTTGGCATCACTTCAAGATTTCACCTCAAAGATTAGACATTTAGCCGGCCCGGCCTCGCTCTGGCTAAATACTGGTTAAGTCTGTTAATTGTTTTAGGGCCATCTTTCCCTCTTTATAAATTTTCTAATATTCCCCCGACCGTATCTTATTAATGTTCGCTAAGTAAATGTTCCTTCTTATTACAAGCAAAGTAATTTTTGGACGTATACCGTGTGTCTTGTAACGAATTATGTTATTATTTCACCTTGGGCTCTTATTATCTAACATTTTCAAACATTGTCGTATCACCGACGGCTTTAACGTCTTAAATTACACTTGTTTCAACTTTAACCGTTTCTTGTAGAATTATTTTGTTCAGGGATTCCGTAATACCGGGTGGGACAAATATTAGAATCAATATTGATTCTAATATTTATAAGTGGCTTCACACTGTCGTTACAGTGAAACAGGGACAAATATTGCTCCAGAAGTTTCTTGGTAGCCCAGAACACAACAGCTACCAGCAATAGCTTTGGAGCTCTACTCACAATATTAGGAGGTAAAAAAAAAACTAGACAAAAGGAAAAGAGAAAAGCAGAAAGGCCCTACAAAACTAAAATCTTATAAACACAATAAAAACAAAAGGATCCTTTAAAAATATCAAATAAAAACATATTTAAATATTCACTAATTCTTATAGCAATATATTTAATAACACTGGGGCCTTTCATATATCAAAAGCACGAACAGGTGTTGAAGTGAAAAAATCTCAACGGCTTAATCACAAATCTCCTAATTAATAAAATTACTTTACTGTATAAATCCAAATCGACTGGTAAAAGATACACCTAACCCAAACAGAGTAAAACTCAGCGAACTCTGATAAATATCGATGACTACTGATATTATTGACAAACTCCGTATTCGGAAACTGAAACTCGATAAATACAGAAATAGTTTCCGTAAGGACTGCAACACAAAATGCACCTAATTGTATGCCGTGTTGTCTGACGACAATATAAACCGTTACTTGAAGACACAGGTATTGAGTAAGATAACTAACAATAATTTTATTATAACAGACGTGGGGAGACGACACAGAATCTTTAAGAATATGCGGATCACAAAATATTATCTACATTGAAGAATTTAGAGGAATTACTTGTAAGATAATGAAAAATAATGATACTAAAAGGAAAAACAGTATGTAAAAATAGGCAACACTATTGGCTCCGTGCGTGACTGCAGCGCTAATTCATTTATTTACTAATGGACTATTTTTGCGTTTACTGAAAATACAATTTTTAATAGAATTCGTAATTAAAAAGTATATATGTGAGTTTTAATAAAAGTATATGGATTTGTAAAACAAGTGAAACATTAATTAATTATTATCGCTTAAACTAAAAAAAAACTAGGTATAATCAATAAAAATCAATAATAAAATATAGGCAGACAACAGTATTTACGAGAAAATGTACGAGAAGTTGCCTAAGTCTAATAAGTTGTCTTTAAAGAATTAACCTATTCTGTCAAAATAAAAAAATACCACAAGCGTGGTAGGTAGTGGTAAGCGTTAAAATGTATAAATAGAAGGATTGTTATTTATATTTTCATTTTTGTTCGAAAGAAAACATAGATTAAAACTGGTTTCCTATCAGTAAGTTACAAAATTGCATTCCAGCCACATACAATAATCAACATTTAAGATTAAAGGGATGTAGAAGAACATCGTTAAATCATAATTTATTGTTTATTTAAAACCTTTCAAGTTTCTGATGTCTACTGCTATTTCTAGTATTACCGTTATTATTATTCTTCTTATTGTACATCTATAAATTTAATTTCCACTTTGCTATTAAATTTTTTTATAATATTCACTGTTGGGTTCTAATTAACAGTGCTGTTCCTAAAGTGGCGCTGGGAAACATTAAAAAAGCCTACACAGAACACGAGGCTAATAACCTTAGCTAGCGCTAGCATCGCTTTTATTTCCCCTACCATGACTTCGCACTGAGCGAATAAGCAAATATGAAACTGTTACAAACGGAGTTCTTCAGGGAACAGTGTTCGGACCACTGCTCTTTAATTTATGTTTTAATGACCTATTTGGGAGATTTAGACGTAAAATAATAAGCTTTGCGAACGATACACCTATATTTTTTACATGTGTGAACTGAATTTCTTTACTAAATACTATTAAGTTACCTGAACTTTTTATACTATATATTAACAATTAATGTCAAAAAACTATAATAAAAACTATACAGGTGTACATAGATTAAATGACCAAAAATTTTGATTTGAAAGATAAATGATTTTTTAAATATTTATTTATTATGGGAGGCTATAGTTATACTACTTCTTTTTCTTAAATTAATATTTTGGAGATTAGCTCTAAACCAAATTTTATTATATAAATACTCAGATATTTAAATTTCTATAATTTTGTAAAAATAATCCAGAGAGTGCAACCTGCGCCGATTGTACATAATTATCCATTTTGCCATTTCTAGTGTGGGTAAAATTCTGTCTTCTTCTTAAACCATTTAAAATAATAATTTTTTTTTTTCTAGATCTGGTGCGAAAATATCAATCCAACAGCAAGACCTTTCAACACCAGTACATTTAGCATGTGCACAAGGTGCTACGGAAATCGTCAAGCTAATGTTTAAAATGCAACCCGAAGAGAAAATGGCGTGTCTATCGTTCTGTGATGTACAAAAAATGACTCCACTTCACTGCGCCGCTATGTTTGATCATCCTGAAATTGTCGAATATTTGGTTAATGAAGGAGCCGATATTAACGCTATGGATAAAGAAAGGAGGTCACCAATGTTACTAGCAGCATTAAGAGGAGGTTGGAGGACTGTACATATGCTCATAAGGTTTGTATTATAAAATATTTCATACTTATATACAGAAGAGATGAATAATAGAAATGAGAGTTATGATCAGTATTTTGAAGTAGAGGGGTTACAAATGGCGGCGTTAAGCAGAAAAAAATCTGATCGGGATCTGTTTCAGATCCAAAGACAGTAATGTCTTTGTTCAAATCAGTTTGCAACATGTTTATAGTCTGCTGAACAGTATTTATTTTTGCGTTTTGAGCAAGAAACTGTAGTGACATTTGACATTTATTAAAGTCATGTAACTAACCTCAAAACTAAACTCCAAATTTATGATTTTATATTTTATCCATTTTATCTATGGATCGTGAGTAAATTAAAAAGTAAAATATAAAGGGGTATTGTGTAATAGCAAAAGCAACTATTGTAAAGAAAGCTTGAGTGATACAATGGATGGCAATATTTTAATGGTCGCCCTTGACGACGATATTGACTTAAATATTATTGTAAAATTGACAGGACCTCCATTCACTACTAGATGCATTTCTTTAGCAGTCACCCGATCTTTGAAAGTTTGATTGAGATAAATAAATAGGGTTATATTTATATTTGTGGTTGACTGCTAAACAGCTGTCAGATCATAGATAAGTACTACAGAGAGTGGTAGAAGTTGTTCGTGGTTCTGTGAGTATATTTTGACGTTTCGTTGTCTAAGATATCTATTGGGCAATACAAGGATACCAGCATGATACAATTAGTTTTATTTTAAGCAAATATAGGTAAAGAAATACTTTATGGATAAACGAAACCTATACTATAGTCTTAACGCTCGATTAAAACCGTTACACCATGTTTTAAATTGGCAACCTCGTCTTTCTTTACTCTATTTTTATGTTAGTCTTAACCCCAAAAATAGAATACACAACATGTTTACTTGAAAGGTAGCATAAATTAATACGCTCCGAAAAATGGCCACTGATCCGACAACTGTTTCGCACAACGTTGAGAAAAGTTGTCGTTCAGCAGAAAATAAGTAAACTGTTGCGTCTGCTGAACGCAGCCATTCTTTGACCTGCAGTTCCATCATAGAGATACTCTACGCGAATGTACATTTTCATTGAAACTACTCTGCAAAATCTACATTTATTTCTATTATACTTTAATATTGTAAGGCGTGCGTACCGTTATGGGTGTAGCCCTATACTTTCTTTCTGTGTTGATTATTTCGTTGGATAAGAGGACAAACTGTTGTGTTTCCAAAAATGTTATTTAAGAGTTAGAGGTTCCTATGATGAACTGTAAAGATTATATTAGTAATAACTTACTAACTGCTTAACCGTTTCAAGGAGATGAACAATATTTGGGAACCATAAGATTTCACCTCGAAGAACATAGATACAGGCTCAATTATGGATTGTATTAAAAATTAACTCCAATAAAAAAATTTGTATATTTTATGCACTATTTAAGGAAACTTGGAGATTTTCATCGTATTTATCAAGATATGACGTCATCGAATGAAATTTTAAATAAACCTCCCTACATTTATATATTTTTTTCGAATAGTTCTTTTTTTTTCTGAATCCATCAATGTAGAGTTCAAGGGTCTCTAGAGTTCATAATAAAATAGAAAGTGAACATTTATTTATTAAAAAATAATAATTACTTTACATCAATCGAAGTACACAAATCTTTCAAAATAAGTTCGAAGTGGAAGCCAACTGCCTACTAATATCTTAGTCTATCAACAAATAATGATCTTAAGGCATTTTGATCAGGTGTTAATTTCCTGAACAGCAATTCTTATATTGTCTTCCAATTCTTCCAGCAGTGGCAGGTCACTTCAAATTATCTCAAAGAAAAAATCCAGTGGGAATAAATCCGGTAACCAAGCCGGCTACTCTTCAAACTTCCAATCTCTGATACGATACCTATACTACGACACTAGAGTAAATCCTAAAGATATTAACTCAGGTGCATTTTCCGACCTCAACAATCCTAACAGATCTAGATTTAGGAGACAAAGAAAGCTACAATCAAAAGGGGATCAGAAAAACTCCAACAGACTGGAACCTGGCCTCCGATATCATAAAACCACGCAGGATTAGTTGGCCCATCAACAAATTCAAGCCATACAAATCCTTGGGGCCGGATAAAATATAACCATTTCTGTTCCAGAAGGGCAAAGATGTGTTAATGCAACATCTATACAAAAGCTTTAAAGTATACATTCCCCTAAAATATATCTCAGTATATCTCAATATGGTAAAAGGCGAAAGTGGTCTACCTTGCCAGAGTAGGTAGGCACAGACCAAGCGCCAAAGTTACATCGTTCTATAAGCCTATCCTCCTTCTTACTGGAAAGATTGATAGACAGGTATATGAGGGACGAGATACTAAAAATAAGTCCGCTCGATCCCAACCAATATGCATACCATCCAGGAAAGAAAACTGACCCAGTGCTGGAGGATCTAAACAGGCTGCTACAAAGTCAATAGATGACAAATATATCGCAATAGCCACTTTCTTAAATATCGAAGGTCCATAACGAAGGCTTTAGAACAGAGAAACGCACCAGTTACAATATGCCAATGGATCACTGCCAGCCTAGAGACTAAGATCATTTTATCCATTTTAGGAAAGACAACCATACTGGCAAAATTTACACGGGGTTGCCCACAAGGAGGAATACGATCTTAAATGTTGTAGTCAGTTCTAGTGGACGACCTACTCCAAACATTGTCTAAAGAAGGCTACCAGTGCCTAGGATATGAAGACGACTTAACAATTATCGTCAGGGGGCAAATTGCAAGTATAGTTTTGGAGCGATCTCAAACAGTTCTAAACATAGTAAACAACTGGTGCAAAAAGAAGCAATTTTCCGCTAAAGCACAAAAAACAACAGTCGTACCATTCACAAAAACAAACACTTACAGGACTAAGACCACTAGTACTAAATAACATGGTTATTCCATTTGTCACAGAAGCAAATACCTCAGAGTCATATTCGACCAAAGGCTGACGTGGAATCAACATCTTAAAAACTCGCATACAAAGCTACAATAGATATTGTAAGCTGTAGAAAAATATGTGGAAAAAACTGGGGTCTAAGCCCCTGAATGACCATGTAATTATACATAAGGATGATAAGACTCATGATAACCTGTGGCATAGTGGCGAGAATAACCAAAACTGCGCAGGCAATTCCAATATGCCAACTCACCTGCATTCAGCGAATCGCCTGTCTGAGCACCACTGGGATATGTATACTACGCCAGTTGAAGCAATGGAGGCACTATTAAACCTCACGCTACTACACACTTTTATACAGGAAACCAGGTCCGTTATTCACAGTCTAATGTATGAACAAAACCCAAAAAACCAACTACATAGCTTCGATCATACGAGGCTATATCAGCAAGTAAAAACTGATAGGATTCTAGAAATGCCTATACAAATTTGAAAGAAATTTTTAAATTCAAATATCAGCCGGAGAATCCTGGACACAGGCTGAACTCGTCTGGTATATAGGCGGTTTAAAAACCAAAGAAGGAACCAAGTCGAAAACAACGATTTCGCCGAGTCTATGAAAATATTTAAGTATTTTAACCTCAAATAATAGCCATACAACATTGTACAAAAAAAAATCATCAAGTATCAGGCAAAACTATTGCCATCTACTCTGATATCCAAGCAGCTTTAAAGGCAATTTTCTCAGCAGCAATCAAATCACGACTTTTGAAATACTGCCTAGAAGACCTGGTGGAGAGTTTTCAAAATCAGGTGATTCTAGTCTCGGTGATAAGCCAGGGCAATGAAAAAGCCGACGAATTAACTCAAATAAGGCCATGACCTACTCTGAACCCTTTTATGGTGTTGCTAAGGCATTGTGCAAGGCATTTATAACACAATTATTTCAAAAACTGTAGAAAGAACTATCTAAGATTAACATAAGTCAAACAGTTCATCAAGGAACCATCGGCCAAGTTCATAAAAGACCCACTGGATCAAATACGTCAAATTGATAGGATAAGAGTAGGTCTTCTTACCGGTCACTGTCGCCTAGAAGGCGTCTTATTAATCCATCAGAAGAAGCAATATTGTGCAGGTTCTGTGAAGAAGAAGAGGAAACATCAATTCACGTCCTGTGCTAGTGTGAATGCCTGGCCCGATTAAGGTTTCTAACATTAGGTGAAGAAGAGCCAGATGCATGGAACTGCATGTGGGAGCCACTATCGAAGTTACTAAGACTAATAAAAAAGACCAAGCTAGACGAAATAATCTACGAAACGGAGTTCCACAATATATCTGAACAGGTCGCGGAGGACAAGGACAAATATTGTCCAACCCTTTTCAAATCTTATCTAATCTAGTTAATAATGTAACTAGTAAACTAATGAGCATTCTAAATTTAATTGACCTTATGCACATACGTTCTAGGAGCGAAGTCAAGATATCAAAGCCAACTTTTCAACTTTTAAAATAATTAGTAGCCTGACTACATCAAATGACAAGGGTTACATAATATGGTTGAACTCGAATTGAAGGGGAAATTCCAATAATGACACAACATACAGTGTGATATATTAAAAAAAAGGGTCTAATAATATTAGAAAAACGGTAAATCTGCAAATGACAAATTTGAATTCTCCTTAGTCCAAAATAGGTTTATCTTGTACTTTGTAAAATACTAGAAAATTATGTGGTTCCAGGCTTTTATTCCACTCTGTATACTTATAATTTAAATAAATTGGTTCATACAAAACACATAAATTATATATAAATAAAAATGCAAGACAATAAACGTAAAATGCACATTTTATGATTTATAATACGATGGAAATTGACTTTTCTCTAACCCCTAAGTTGTTTTTTTCTGTTTATTTTTCACGTTTTTTTATCATTATTAATGACCTCTAATTGGAAACGAACGTGCGGCTTAAAAAATTGTAGGATATTTTTTTTTGTAAACCAGACACAATAAACCTTTTCATCATGTGATGAGCGCAAGCGCAGCCGCCATGTTGAAATAGCACCAATTCAAAAGTTTCGTACTGTTTTGATCAACAATGGCTTGAAAAGCAATATTATCTTTACATACAAATCAATCATTAGAAAAAATCGTTGATGGTGATTTACATTTTTATAACTCTGTGAAAACACGTAGTTTTGAGCAATTAAAAAGGTTCTTGAAGTGACGTGGACGTTCGGAAGAAGGAAAAAAAGTGTGACTGAAAGGTTAGGTTTCAATATTAACTGTGTCAAAAATGAATGAAAACAAATAATAATAATTATAAATCTATTCCAATTAATTATGCCAACCAACCATTAATAATTGCAAAAACACTTTAACATGAAAGTTAATCACGAGTATAATTAATAAGATAAATTATTTAAAATTTTAAGGATCAACATGACATTTTTAATAATATTACTGTGTATTTAATATTAAAAAATATTGTGTGATACCAGACAAGGATTTTCTTCTGTTGAACCACTTTTTCCATGAAAATGTAGTGAACAAATATAAGTATCTTTAGTAAGTACCTAACATCATCCATCCATCCATCCATCCATCAATTGATCGAAAACCTTTGTCAGTTCGACCACATTTTTTAATATGTATTTTGCCTAATTTGATAGTTTTTTACGATATTGCAGGCAAGTCTTTTTATAAAATATTAATTTATACCGTGTGTCACTTTTACATACTCATAACAATACCGTTTAGTTTTTCGTCTCCGTATTGATATCATAATTAATTGATTACAAAGACACTTATTACTTTACTTTTTTTATCCCATTTTTTTAAACGAATATACTTAAAATTAATATTTATCGATTATAATTTTTTTCACGTGGACATTTCAACAAAAAACAACACGAAAAAGATGCCTGATACTGACGCATGCGCACAAAAAAATTGTGATGAAAAGGCCTATGGTCAAATTGTCAGTTTCCATTTTTTGACATTCACCGTCAATGAAAAAAACAAAGAAACTGCCATGCCTTGATAACTATTATGTCTATTTTTTTACATTATTTTCGATAATTTATTTTACTCCCTTAACAACAACATAGATAAATGTACCTCGCAATTTATTTTTTTTTATTGACATAAACTAACGAAAAATTATTGGAATCATCGTAGATAATCTTGGTCGTAGGCGCTCGTACTATTTATTCTGGGCCTATCCTTTTATATTATTACAAATATTCTTTTCAGATTGGGTGCTGATATAAACATAAGAGATGTCAACAAAAGAAACGTGCTTCATTTAGTGGTCATGAATGGTGGCAGATTAGAAAAATTCGCTTCAGAAGTAAGTGAGGTAACTATTAGATATTTTGCTTAATTTTTATTTTAGCCAGTTTTTAACCACTTTGAAAAGGTACTGCTTGCCATTTTTTTTGGTTGTGAATGGTTACTGAAGTAGCAGTAAAGTAGGTATGTTAATAAGTGTACTAATGAAAGTAGGCACAGTAATAAAAAGTAGGTTAATCACTATAATTTTCGCATAGGAAAATTTAGAGCATTATTTGTATATCTAATAACTTTTTGTAATATTTAAATTAAAAAAAAAAAAATGATTTATAGAAAATAATTATTGTGTTATATAAGATGAAAATTGAATTCAAAGGATTAAATTAATTTCCAAAATCTGAGAAAATCGTGTAGGATTGTATTTTGATTATGTAAGTCATCTGACAATAAATTTTAATTTAAATCTAAGTCGATGTCAAGGGTAACTACTAACAACCTGTTGAGTTAATTAACTTCATGCTTTGGGACAAACACTCAATTTGGTTTAACAAAAGTAAGCACGTGAAACTAAATAAAATATGTGAGATTCCATAATTTTTTTACCTAAAGTTCATCCATAATTATTACTTTCAACTTTTTGACGATAACCAGCTAAATTATATTTGGACGTGTGGTGATTAAGATAGTAACTCGCGACTTGTCTGTCTGCCTGCCATGATTAGACGCATGGTTACACCTCTGTCATTAGTGGGATAGCACGTATTGTTTATTTTTGTTAATTTAAGAATATCATTTTTCTATAGTACTCTCCTGGAGTCAGTGTTGGAAAGTTAACGTACTTTTTACTAGTTCACCTATTTTGGCGTGTATCTGTAATAATGTGCGACATACTTTGTCACATTCTACTTACATGCGTAAACATATGTTTTTAGAACAGGAAAAATACGGGCCTATGCCTAATCTAACCATACAATACTATACAACTACAGACATATGTATTTTTTTTTTCCGCACGCTCGCATTAGTTACTATTCTGTGAAGTATGCTCAAGTTTTAAAACATTTTTTTGTAGAATAAGAAGACTGGGAGTGGTGTACACACTACTAGTAAAGTGTAAGTGGAATAAGTATTTCAGTGTTTAAAGAATTAAAAAATTTATAATAATAATTAGGCCGAGCGCTTTCGGCTTAACAAAGACACCATCAAAGCTGTCCTAAAAGGCGTTACAAATTTAAATTTTTATAAGTATTAACAGATGAGAAAAATTTACGTCTTTGATACTTTCCACATTGAATCAATTAAACAATACATTGAGTTGTTAAAAACAGATACAAATGAAAATTAAAAGCATTTAGGGGCGGTAAAGGCACCGAACCCCAATTTGGATACAATTAAAATAAAGAATAAAAATAAATAAATATTATATAGGATCGTAACGATCCAAAATTAATAGTAATATTATAATAAAATAGTATTCGAGATCGTCTATATCAGTACAAGCGTACTTAATTTTGACATTTGATAGCAGACATATCACACAGGCAGACTGACACAGGATAATATGACAAGTAGAAAGAGCGTTTGAGAGTGGGTCTGGGGTCAACCAGACTTATTATCATTAAACTAAAAATATATAACAATGAAAAAGAGTGGGAGGGATATACTAGGCTTTTAAGAATATAAACTGTAGAGAGGTCCTAAGAAACCTAAGTACATTTGGTTTTGGGAAACATTAGAATTTGAAGAGTAGAAGGAAGGGCAATGATTCTATATCCATACTAGGCCAAAGAACTTGAAGTAAATAGACGTTAGTAGACCATGACCCATACATGGCACCTAGTCGAAGAAAGAAGATTAAATTAGAAAAAAAGGAGGAAAGAGTTAGAGAAAAGTGACAAAATTATAGTAAAGACAAATTACTACCTATATCCATATCCATACTAGGTACAAAGTAAAGACAATTATTTTGCCTTTTACGACACAGCTGTGTCCTAGAACCATTTCTTGACATGGAAGGCGCTTTTAATGACACCTTTAAATCAATGGTAGCTGCCACTCGCAAACATGGATAAGAAGACACCATCTGCTGGTGGATAGAGGACATGTCAGGCACAAATGTTCAGTTAAACCACGCAGGTGAATATTCATAGGGAATGCCCACAGGGTTTAGTCATCTACTGTGGAACCTAGTGGCAGATGAATTGCTGGGAACACTGAAAAATCAAGGGTTGTACGTCAAAGGACACACTAATGACATAGTCATCATTATCCGAGAGAAACACAAAACCACAGTCTTCGAACTCTTGCAAAGAGCTCTAAGACTGACAGAAATGCGTTAAGGAAAAATCTCTTGGTAAACCCTGACAAAGCACAACTCACAACCTTTTCTTGGAAAACAAGATTGAATGTCTTAGTAACTCCTACCCTGTATATGTTATGGTTTGTTGGGTATTATTGCACTGCGACCTTAAATATCTATTGTGCTCTCTTTTGTGGCTAATGCACCGAGGAAATATTTTCGATGTCCATAGCAACCCTTCCAATCCTATCTTTTCAAGGAAGTGTAGGATGTGGAGTTACTTCAAATTAGGTAGATCCACCTCTTTAATATAGTATGCTCCTTAGTATAGTGCCCTTGGATATTGAGGTGCTACACATTTAGTCAGAATGTGAATAAAGGTTTCATCCTTTTCCTCGCAAAATCTGCACTCACTATCTTCTACTAATATCAGTTTACTAAGGTGTTCTTTGAGTCTTCAATGCCCAGTAAGGATACATGTTACAATGCGCAGCCTGTTCTTGCTTAGGATGATACAGGCTTCCAATCTTTTCTGGTTATATTCACCTCCTACCCTGTTTGGGGAAGCCTAAAAAGAACGAACCAAGTAAAATATCTGGGTCTAATCCTAGATAGCAAACTTACTCACAAAAGTGACCAACAAATGTAAAATGGGTCTCTTAAAAAATAAAATTGATGTGTGTTTTCGATTTTTTATATAATTTACTAAAAGAAAGGTTAAGGGAAGTTTTCAAATGAACACCTTGCATATGTGTCGTGCCAATAACCTTAAATGTTGAGACTCGTTACTAATTTTTTTTTCTTTTGTACACTGATACGTGATCGATGACAGTGGTTGATACTTTAACATTATTTATTATATTTTTCAGAATGTTTTGTGATCATTAAGAACATCATAAACAAAAATAATATTCCAGAGGAAAATAAAAAAATGATTAAATTTTCTCATTCCTACAATAAAAATAACTAGTTTTATTTAAGAAAAGTAACTTTACAACGGAACAACGAAACAAAAAACGAAAGTTGTAACATTATTAAATTTATATGTTTTGTTTTTAATGCCATTAACCGAGAGTAATGAAAGAAAACGGAAATGTGAAAACATTATCATTTATCTTTAATGTTTTTCTAGTTTACAGAAGGAATGGTGCAAAGTCTTGGCGTTTCAATTTCAGCTTTTTATTATTTTTAAATAGATGACAGTTTACTGATTTCTTAAAATTAAAATGCCGTAGTTTATTGGCATTGGAATTGTTTCTTAAATGGAAAACTAATTAATTTTTTTTTTGCTACAAATAGACAATTTTCAAAATGCATGAATTGTTTTAATATTGTGATAGTAAATAACCCAGTCATTGACCATTTATTATTTCATTAGCAGTGATTGGCCTGAAACTTACAAACTCCATTATTAACAATTTTATTTCCTGATAAAAATACAATTTAATTAGTGATCCAGTTACTCACGAACGTGTATCATACATGTGTTTGTATCTATTTGAAAGTGATTTCGTAAGAAGGTGTGTACATTAAGTATTTTTTGTTTTGTTTCTTACGTTTGCTATTAAACTTCGCTTGAGTTATCTTTTTAACATTTTGTTTTATTGAAATAATAACAATTTGCCTAGTTAGTTTAAACCAAATATACACATAATTTTAAGTGACCAATTACTGGCTATTATTTCCTATATAAAATCATTGATTGGCCACAAGGCTAATAACTAATAAGTTTGAATAGGGATCAAAATTATATTGTTTTGGTTTAGATATTTATCCTTATACGTAGTTAGACATTTTTATTTATGTATGTTAGTAGATATTGCGCTTTAACCATTAGATGGCCAGGGCCAGTGAATAAATTTGAGGGTGGCCAATCACTGATTTTTATTAAATTATAAGTCATCGTAATGTCAAAAAAACTTGTTGGTGAAAAATCCCAAGGTCACACTTTAATTTAGAAGAAGTAAGAAATTTGTTAAAACCAGTTTGGGTCCCAATTCTATACTTACCCAACATGAAGAAAAATTGTTGGTAAACTGGATTATTGAAAATCAGAAACGTGGATTTTCTCGACGTAAGAAAGATATTCAAGAATCGGTAAAAGAATTTCTGAATAAAAATCCAAGAAAAAAACCCATAAAGAAATTTGTAAAAGAACAAGTGAGACAGTAACTGCAAATGTTTCAGAAGGAGATATAAAAAATGGTTTGAGGACATTGAAAAATAACTTGATTCAAAAGGGTGGTTATCTATTTTTGAAAATCCAGATCGTATCCTAAATGCTGATGAGGCATGTTTTAATCTATGTCCAAAAAATACTGAAGAGGAGCAAAGAATGTTTACGAAATTGAACATGCTTCCTCTAAGATAATTTAACAGTGATATTTACTTTTACAGCGTCATGTAATGTGACCCTACCTATGGTTCTTTATTCCTACAAAAGATTACCTTTTAAAAGTAGCTCAATCGATTCCAGAAGAATGGGGTGTGGGCTTTTCGGACACAGGTTGGATGAAATCAGAAGTAATATATGAATATGTCAAAAATGTATTACATCCAAGTTTGCAGAAGATGGACATCATTTTTCCGGTCATACATTTCTTGGACCACCAACTGTCTACGTAAATTGGCGGCATATAAAATAGTACATTATATACCTAGGGTAAATAATAGCTTTCTCAGCCGAGGTATATGTAGAATTTTTTTTACTACTAACATTAATATATTAGCAATTTAAATTTTGACGTAAGTAATTTCCTAACAATTTGTTAAATATTTCGAAATATCAAGCAGAGTGGAGCGTGTTTCTAATCAGACTGGCTTTATTTATTTAAAAATTTGGCATGTGTCAAATTTTGATATGATTCTAGGAAATATCCCATTGCATTTTTGATATTTTAGTGACATGGATTTATTGGTATTAATTAATAATTTTTGAAGCCTGAATTTCCTAGTTAATATATATTTTTACTATTAACACTGTGTATTATCATATTTGATTTGATTAGATTTTAATAAACCCAGCTTTAGTTATTTTTCAAATATTTCAAAATATCGAGTAGTCTGGGAGTTTAGTTGTCAAATTAACAAAATGAAACTAATGAAATTTAGTTTCATTATTTACCTAGGTATTTTTTTATTATCATTATTTACCTAGGGTGAGAAATATTACTTCTCATTAGAGGAATGGAGTAAATAATGGTGATTTCTCATGTTAGTAGTAAAAAAATATTTTTATTATTAATATTGGGAAAAAAGTTATTGTTTATAAAAAGTCGAGCATGGTCTAAAACCTAAAATACAACCATCAGATATCAAATTTTATCAGTTGTATAAAGAATAAAGGTGCTTTACTCTTGAGTAAAACTCATATTTTTTGACAAACTTCGTATACCACTGAAAAAATTTGATATTTGATGACTATATTCTAGGTTTTAGATAATGCAGAACTTTTTATGAAGAATAACTTTTTTTCCTAAAATTAATAATAAGAAAGTTTTCCATATGATTCCAACTTAGGGGGACATACTGTATATATTTAGTGTACTATATTTTCTATCGCTCTCTCTATAGGGAATAATTAGTGTAATGTGTTTGTACTAAATATAGTGTTTACAAGTTATTTTTGTGTATATTTCGTTGGTCGATATAATGAAATATATATATATAGCGTACATATTATAATTATTGTCCCATCGAAATTAAATAAATAACTAATTAAACTTCCAGTTTTTTTAAATGTAGAGATGAAAATATAATCAAAACGAATTAATCCTACGCTTTTTTTGGATGTCCATGTAATTATTTATTCATAATTCTCTTTTAATTGGCACAGTCAATTCAAATGGGATTCCATTTTCAGTAATTGCACGTAGTAGTGTCACTAGAATAATACTCAAAAAAAAAAGGATATAATTTCGTTATTAGGCCTCTTCATTTACTCTGAGATTAATTTCACAGACATTTATTTCAAAATAAAATAATTAGAAATAAGTTGCACAAATGTGGTATAACCCGTAAGGGGGGAGGAAGAAAAACACAAAGTATTTAATACAGTAAAAAATATAATTTATTTTTTAGGGCAAATAGTTTCGCCAACCAACAGGCCTAGAAGAAAAACAACACTTGTAAAGGGTGAACCATTAATAAAGGCCGATCAGAATTCTAAATAAAACGCAAAATATTTAGAAAATTGTTTTAATTTTATTTCTCTATGATAGTATGGTTCAAGGCAATTATGTGTGAAACAAAATATCGGCCAAATGTTCGCCACGGCTTCGGAGGCACACCTCCATTCGATGGTCTATATTTTCGATGACGGTTAGGCATAATTATTGAGGTTAACTATCGTTAATGTGCCGAGTTATCTCATCTTTTAGCTCTTGATTTTTTTGTAGGCTTATTGACGTACATCTTTTGTTTGAAATAACACCAAAGAAAGCAGCCCATCGGTATCAAATCGCATGACCTTGGCGGCCAATTGACATCACCATTCCGCGAGATAACACGACCATTGAATTTTTCGCGTAAAAGAGCCATTGTTTCGTTAGCTATGTGGCAAGTGGCACCATCTTGTTGGAACCACATATCGTCCAATTTCGGCCACAAAAAGTTTATCAGCTCGCGATAGAGAACACTATTCACGATAACTGCTTGGCTGACCTTATTTTCGAAGATGCAGCCAGCCCATAAACCTCTATAAACACGCACAGGTGTTTTCACATCTCCTAGAGACCCGGTCCTCTGAATATTGAGCAGAATTTTTCCAATTGTACGCACATTTGGTCGATTATGTTGACCAAAAAAAATCACGAAGTACACGATATGCATTTTTATTTGAATGCCCATTTTCATAAAAAGCTTCAACCACCTTAACGCGTTGCTCAATGGTGTACCTATCCATTGTTGAATTTGCCAACGTCTGAATGTTAGAAACGTTACACGAAATGCCACACCAAACTTGACGTTTAAGTGTGGTTTGCAATTAAATTCGGCCCATACTGCTGGTTCACCCTATATAATATAAATTCAGTTACATATATTCAATTAATTTTAACTTACGGATGTACAGATTATAAATATTGAAATATGAAGCAAAGTATTCTAATATTAATAAATAAGTTATGAAGGAGAAAGTTAGTATATTAGTAAATAAAAGTGGGTAAATGTGAGAATTAGAAAAATACAAATCCATTAAACATACTCAAGTACCTAGTTAGATTAACTTATAATAATAGCATAATTACTGAAATTAAAAAATGAAAAACAGCATTTTAATTATATATGTACCGGAGTTACGCAGAAAATTAGTATATTAGTATATTCGAGGTAATTTGATAAATAGAAAGAGAACATATATCTATTAACTAGAAAATATTAAAGTTATTATCATAGGTACAATTGATATAAACATTATAAAAGATGAGGAGTCTTAAGATATGTATCTGCTATTCGCAATAGCCGAAATCGGTCATTACCAGAATTTTTTATCCACGTGTTATGGGTGTTTTAGTTTACCCACGATGCGATTGGAAACGTTTTCTCTAAGCAGTGAGTAAAGTTGTGAATAAACTAAGCTAGTCACAACACAAAATATTGTATTGTATTACATTTTGGAGCATTTCGTTTGCCCTAGCTAGTATGTGTTACTTAGAACGCGTTTCAAAAAAGTGATAAAGCATTTAGTTATATATTATATTAAAAAAAAAAACAACAAAGAAAAAACAAAATTTAACAAACAACGCAAAGAAAACGAGAAATAGAGAAATTTATTTAAAAAACAAACATTATTTATTTTTACAAGAATTATAGCTCTTGTGATATTTTAAATTGCATTTTATATTTAATTTTATGCACTTACAAGCCTTTATTTTAGACAATTACATCAGACAAATCCTGGATTAGGTGAGGAAAACGAGGAAAACCCCATCCACCATTATTGAAACGATAACGCATGGCGATGTATAATCTGGATGTCATATCAACAGAAATTAAATTTCTGCTAATACGGCATCGATCAAATCCTATAACGAACTATGCAAATTAATTAAAAATTCACATGGTCTGCTACAGGATTCGAAGCATGTTTTTTTCTAGTTCTTCAATTACCTCGTATTACACTAACTTTCTGCATACCTTTTGTTATTTATGATACTAAAACACATATTTTAATTTTAGTAATTTAATATAAATATATTTGGATTTTTCTAGTTCTCACATTCTCTTTTATATTTTAATATCCTAACTTATTTCATGACCATTATGATTCTTGGTTCCGATTCCATATAATGAGTATTGTTTTTCTTCTATATTTGATGATGACCATTGGCCCAAGCTAGTTGCCCTAAACAATAAATTATATTTTATACTTCGATACATACGTTGAAATTCCTTTCCTCCTTTTTTAAGATTATTAATTTTTAATCAATCTAATTTGCAAAAAAAATCGGTAGCTTATATTATATACTCGTAGACGCATTGGTATATCTTGATACACTGATTTCTCGATCTGACATTAACTATAGATAAAATATATTTATATAATGTTAACAGACAAAATCTAAGGAAAGTCTTCTCCAACTGCTCAATGAAAAAGATATAACTGGATGTTCTCCATTACACTACGCTAGTCGAGAAGGTCACATCAGAAGTCTGGAAAATCTCATTCGACTTGGTGCCTGCATCAACCTAAAAAACAATAATAATGAAAGTCCTCTACATTTTGCTGCTAGGTAAGCATTTTTTTTTAATCCGAAAATATTATTAAAGTTGCATTTCAAGAATTTTGTTTGAGGTAATTGTCAAAGTTACATGTAGACATAAGGTCTGTTCCAACAACGATCACAAATTAGTCACTGATACCAGAACTCTGCGCAGTAGATAAGCTGGCGGTCCCAGTAATGTACTGCGCAGAATCCTGGTATCAGTCACTCATATACTTTGATAGTATGTGGGGCAAATAATATGGTGGACCGGATGTTATTTAACATAACCTCTATTTCCATTTGTCATCACATTTGTCATTTAATTGTGTCAACAAGTTACGACGAGATGTTTTTTTAATTTATGTAGGTAGTATCGGATAGCATTACTATGATATAAACAATAAACGTTCATTCGTGAACACACAATATGCTTCACGTTTCCATTTTTATATTTTCTTTCATAAAAAAAATCAAATCGTGGGTGAATTATCCCGAAGAACATTGCCCGCAAAAGGAATAGAAGAAGAATAAGAAGAAAAACTAATCAAATTATAGGTTAGGTATGGCAAATTATCCCAAAATTCAGTTCTGTGAACCCACCATAATTTGCCCAAATCGGTCAGCAGTGTTGCACTTCCGGTCTCCTTGGTGGAACGGATTTTTAGTATGTTAAATATAGCCCAGAGATAAGGGAGATAAAGATAGGAAACGCTCATAAGAAGCCAATGTTTAACAACGACCAGCTTTAACGCAGTTAACATCTGGCCCACTATGTGGCGCTGTCATCAATATCAAACAAATATCGCAGCGGGAAATTTAAAAATCTGATAATTAAGGTTATATAAATATCGACTGCACTCTCACGTTCTGGTAAATAAATTTAAACAATGTAATTATGATAAATTATTTATTAAAAAAAGTACTACACTTACAGTCTATTATCAATTAATTATTGTAAATCTATTCATGACCAATTTTTTTAAATTTTTGATCGTTATTGGTAACATTAACATGTTTGTTCTTATGTTCCAAACGAATGGCCAATGGTGTTTTATTTAAAAGTGTTGAGTTCAAACTCAATAATGGGAATTCAGATATTTTTCTTCCTATATCAAATCTTCTTTCTAACGTTTGGAAGCCATTTTCTTGCTCCAAAACAATAAATAATAAATAAATACCTACTTTGTGATAAAAGTTGGCTACTACTTGTGTTACTTGTTACTTACATGACTAGATCTTACTTCGGTTAATTAAAGAACACCTCTTACTTTGGTTAATTAAAGAATACCACATTGGGGTTGTTACATTTATTCATGTGGCATGTGTTACTAATGCAATACGTTCTGCGACTTATTGTAATATTACAAAATATATTTATTGTCCTCAAATTTCACACAAAGCTACAACCATTTCGCTTAGTTCATCTAGAGGATAACTCAATCGTGAACTGAAAATTTAAAATTAAAATTCAGGATTCTGAGATATACATACAACTAACTGACATTTATATTTACAAACTGTCCACGTCTACTGTCTGTCTACAAACGACGTGAACCTTTAGTTAACATCTGAGACGCATAGATGACGCCATTGTTACTGCGGTCGCTGCGTTTCCAATCTTTATGTCTCTAATCTCTGATATAGCCTATATCCTATCCAGTAAAATAATACAGATCAGTGGCATCAACTGCTACGGTTATTAGCCTCGTATTCAGTGTAGGCTTCGTTACTGTTTCCCAGCGCCACTTTAGGAACATCACTGCCAATTAGTACCCAGCAGTGAATGGTCGAGTGGGGAATCCTACCAAGGCATCAGAATTATTTTTAAATAATTAAATTAAATGAAAAAATCCCGGCCAACAGTGGGATTCGAATCTGGGACCCTTGGATCCGCAGGCAGAGACTCTACCACTGAGCCACCCACCCCGTGCTCATAAATATTATTTTCAAACCAATGTTCAAAAAGACCACATCATTTAACTGAGGTTCAAAAGTCGAGGGCTACAACAAAATTGATCTGTAAAGTCAGTAAAAGTCTAAAAGGTCAGCATATTTTACGTTAAGAAATACTGGCAAAAAGAACAAAGATTACGAAGACCTTTCAGACAAAATGTAGAGAAGATCTCTAATGAAAATTAAGACAATGGTCTCGTAGAATATATTCATCAAAATCTTTTTGGAACCGCTGTGAAAGCACAAGAAGAAACATTATTACCAGGATCTCTCAGAACATCTCAAATGCGTTTAAAACAAACTGGTACAAAAAACTGCGTTGCTACCAGTAAAGTTTTTTACACTTAAAAAATAAGGCCAATACAGTCCAGTTTGGAAATAAATTTTTAATTAACGAGGAGGAATTTTGGAACAATGTGGTATTCTCCGATGAAAAAACGTTCCAACCTTCTAACTGTGGAAGGCTACGAATTTATCGTCCTAGAAACTTATGATTCGAAGAGAATTGTGCTAAGACGAAGTCACTAAATTTTCCTTTGTTTAATCATAAAAATATTTAGTTCAAGTTACTTTCCGCCTGTTATTTTTTTTTTTTTTTAATTCCCGGTTTTGAAGATTTGCGAAAGCCCCAGTAGTTCAAAATATATCATTCTTTAACAAAATTCGAATCCAGCTTTATACGCTCAAATTCAGGTAAATTATCTGGTCATTTTCGCAAATGTCAAAAAGTCCTACGATTTGTAAACACTGGGTACTCCCACTCCGAACCACCCGTAAACTGAACCAGTAGGAGCGTAAATTTTAAAGCTGAGATCCATGAGAACTCTCTTTCTCTTCTATTGCCGAACTACTGAATTTTCTTAAGTAAGCCGTTACCGTTAATACTTTTTTTTTAACTTCATCGTCTGTAAAAACTGTGGAATATATAAGGCCAAGAATCTTTACCATTAGGATATAATTCGTTATTCTCTGGGTCGACCGTCGCTTGTTAAATATTAGCAAAATCATTCTTTACAGCTCGGGAAAATTACTCTTTACTAGTTTCGAACTAAGTACCGTTTCTGTATTTTTGAAGTTTTGTAAGAGAGGCCAGGCTAGTGATCGCACAGTCTGGGTTCAATAATAAAATTTCTTAAAGCTAGTTTAAGTTTCGTAGCCCAAGGAATTTAATTTCTCAACTTTTCACGGAATACCATGTGATTTCTGAAGTTACGTAAGTGAAGCAAGGCTTGTGGCACATACCTATTTATCCGACTTAATTTTTCAACATCCAAGGTGCCCCGAGTCACTAGTCCGTCTATCAGTGAAATATTTAATTCACTAAATATCGTTGATCGCGAGATAACGTTACTCTCTATCCCTCACTGTATCGAACTGTATTAAACCGCATCCCTTTAAAAATAATGCTTTAATCGGGGAGCGATAATTAAAATAAGTGAATTTTAGTTAATTTAAATTTTTCCGAAAATCCGACCATAACATCTCGAGAATTATTGCTTTTTAATAGTAATTCTGATTGAAATATACAGGGTGTTTTAGATTTAAACGGACACAGCTTAATGGAAGGTAGAATACACTTGGCTGAATTTAAAACACTCCCATACTTAGCCTTTAATCTCACTCGTTTCTGAGATATAGGGTGTTTTATGATTTTTTGCCAAAACTAAAGTCGGCTATTCTGTTTGAACAGCTACAGATATTTTCATAGAATTTTGTACAAAAGTTACACTCTCTTAGGTTAATCAAAGCCATAATTAGCCTAGTGTTATTGATCCCATCACGTGTAAATTGGGATTCATCAGTAAATAAAATCCTCGATATTGTCCTTCTGTGAGCCAAAGTCCATCTACAAAAAGATAAGCGGGGTAGGTCGTCTCCGTGTTCAAGTCGCTGTACTTTTTGTACATAAAATGGAAGGTAAAACAATAAGACGTTGGGGCTCTTTTTTGTCAATGTTTGGGAGTTGATAAGCGTTAACAGCCCTAAAATATTCTGGCAAATTGATGGGCGATTAACAACCGAGCATTGCATAAACGTCTTAGATTATTTTACCTTTCAACATGTAAGAAATCGGTTTGTTATACTCTTATATTTACGGACAATGAAACTATTTATAATATTTATAATTTAGATACGGGCGTTACAACACCGTCAAGCAACTACTGGATTCTGAAAAAGGAACGTTTATAATAAATGAAAGTGACGGAGGAGGATGTACACCCCTTCATATTGCTTCACAACAAGGACACACCAAAGTAGTTCAACTATTGCTAAATAGAGGAGCTCTTTTACACAGGTACGTCTAGATTTGGTCATATTATCTACAAGTATATAATTTTGTTTTTGTTTATGAAAACACTTAAAAAATTTAATTGTTTTATAGAATTAATATATCTATTAAAAAAAAGAATGAATTTATGAACTACGCTGTATAAATATGAAATAATATTTTTAAATATCATTTAATTAAAAAGGGTACTTATTTACAAATGCCCATGTATCTTAATTTCAATATTATATATTAGAAAAATGTCATAACTTAAAATTGCATATTAACCAAATATTTAATTTAATTTTATAATCATAAGCAAATCATTAAAATAATTTAAAACTACTATCGGTGGACCACATTCTCTTGTGTACCGTCGATATTTCAAACTATTTTGACAAAATATTTTACTTACATTTTTAAGGACTTATAAACGTAAAAGTTTAAACAAACTGAAATGAATATTGCTTTTAGAATACTTTTACATAAAATTTTATTATCATTTTCTTTTTCTTTTATAGGGACCACAACGGTAGAAATCCTCTGCATCTCGCAGCAATGAATGGCTACACTCAAACGATTGAGCTACTACTTTCAGTGCATTCCCATTTGCTTGATCAAACAGACAAAGATGGGGTAAGTCAAACTTTATTTCATTACTATCATCGTACAAATGTAATATAAATTCTATCAAATTTCGTAATACAAAAATTAAACGGAACTAAAATAGAAATGATCTACATAAGTACAAATTTAAAAATACATTTTTGAATACAGAAGTGTAATAAATGAAAAAAATCTGGACAGTAGAGTTTTTATTATTTTCAACAAAAATCCTGTTGAAAATTTTGGTAATGTAGATGTATATAAAGTTTTAAAGACGAAGGTCAATCAAATACCAAAATGGCACACCATTAAGTTGTTGCCACGGTAACGTTCAATATTAATTTTCCAAGGCATATGTGATATGTATTATATTAACCTAGACCGTTAAGTGACATAACCAAATAAATGAACATCTAATTTCCTTCAAAATTTTTAACTGAAACAATTTCTGTAACTTAATAAATAAAGGTTTGCAGCAAAATTACTAAAACGTGTTCGTTTTTTTATTATTTTAATTAGATATCTGGAGGGTTGCGTCAACCCTCAATTGTTTTTAATGAGATGTTAGGTTGATTAATTGTTCTTTATTTCAAATTGCAAATTACGTATTTTTTTATTTTTAATGGGACATAACCACAACAGATGCGAAACCCGGCAAAAGATGAAAGGATTTTGAAATAAGATTTCTATGACCTTAAACTTTAATGGGCATAGGTGTTGCCAATTTTAATTATTTTGAATCAATCTTACTAAATATGACTTTCTTTTTTTGGATGCCAGGGTTGGTTTAGGTAATTAATGGTTTAATTTAGAGTAGTTGCACGAGTATGTTAAAAAATTTGTCGATAGGAGTCTCATCTTTAAACATTTAAAAAAAAAGAATATGATTTGTATTAATATTTTCAAAATTTTATTATAGGTAAAAAGTTATAACAAGCAACGAATTACAATGTAAATGTATTATAAATTTGTTAAACGGGCTTAGCCATCAAATCCAGTCAGTAGGCCTCCATTTTCCCTTCAATGTGTTGAAATAAATATATTGGCAATTAATGGCCTTCTACCATCATAATACTGACTGCTAAATAAAGGCCATGTGCCAGGTACAATTCGATAGTGCCTCCTTGACCAGCAATACTGTTTGAAGTATAAATATAAAATCGAATGCATTCCAATTTACCTAGAATATTGTAGACATTTTATTTAATTCAGCTATATAGTATATAATGGAGATAAAATGTCTTCTACAAAATGTATATTCATAAAATATTCTAAATTAACAACATGTATGAGTAAGAAATTACAAAGAATAGTGAATACCAGCAATCCGAAACTTGCCTCATGTCCACTCGTTGAGTATGTAGCAAGTGATCATCGCTGTCTCCATCTATGAACGCGGGACGAAATCCTCCTGGACTGTTGGGGTGATGGGTCTGCGGCAGTTAGAAGCCTTTTACCTCGCTCTTACCCTATCCAGTTACTTACCCTATCCAGTTACTTACCCTTTATATGGCTATTATCAACTAATATAGTGCTGGGCTACTATCGAAAAGACAAAAGTAGGCTTTTATTTTTTAATCGTCTCATTCATTTCAATTACAACAAAAGGCCAGCAATATTTCTGATACATTTTTCTGGATATAGTCCGTCAATGTAACGTATGAGATATGTTTAAAATGTACACTTTCAGTAATTTGAAAATGAACAAGAAGCCGTAAATATACTGATATACGAGGGTCTATCAATAAGTACCCGTGTTAGGAATGAAGACGCAAGTTTTTTCATATTTTTATTTTATTTTTCAATTTAATCTCCTTTTAGGTCGATACTCTTTTTCCAACGTTTTTACCACTTCCTTAATCCCTAAAAAGTACTATTTGTCAAAACCTTCAAAGTACACTTTTGTCTCGGCGCTAACCTCATTTGAGCTAAAAGTTTTTCCCCTGAGCCATATTTTTATGTTGGGAAATAAAAAAAGTTGCATGGAGCCAGGTCGGGCGAGTACGGCGGGTGTAGCAGCAACTCTTGCAATTTGGCAGCGAAATTTCCGGATGAATGTACTGGTGCATTATCGTCGTGAAACAGCACTTTTTTCTAAGAAAAATGGGGCCATGTCTTCTTTAATTTCTTATTGAATCGGTCCAATAATTCATTGTAGTACTGTTCCGTGATCGTTCTTCCTTACTGCAAAAAGTCGTGAGGATTATTCCTTTAAATCCCAAAAAATCGTGGCAATGACTTTTTCAGCCAATGAGACCGTCTTTACCTTCTTCGTAGCAGATTATCCCGGAAAAATTCGTTGTTTTGACTGTCGCCTGGTCTCCAGCGTATAATAATGTTTCCAGGTTTCATCAGCGGTTACTACTCGGTGCAATAAATCCTGAAAATGTTGCTTAAAGAGGTCCAAACACTACTTCGACTTTGACACGCTTGTTGCCCACAGTAAGCAAGCGCGGTACCCATCGGGCCGACACCTTTCTCATATCATATGTAACTTATCTTGAAAATATTGATTGCCTTTCCTTATGACATGTTTACGGCCTCTGCTACTTCACGCACTTTAGTTCGTCGATCAGCGACAATGATGTCGAGGACCTATTCGAAGATTTCCTCGGTAACCACGTTTGCTGGGCGACCTGGCCGCTCTTCATCGAAAACACATGTACGAATACGTTTCAATTCGTTAAACCAATATCTCACTATCATAGATGGTGAAAGGTCTCCACAGGCAGCATCCAACTTTGCTTTTATTTCTTCGCATGTTTTTTTATCCAAAAATTAAAAACGAATTACAAATCTATACTGCTTCTTTCCATTTTATGGAGAAACACGAAATGCGTGTAATAGAACTGTCTGCCAAATAAAAACTAACCAATAAATCAGTCTGAAAGTTTTTGTTGTGTCGTTTAACAGCTGACAGTACACGACGGTAATGCCAACTTCCCTTGCAATGCTACCTATTTTCAAACACGGGTATTTATTGATCGACCCTTGTAGATAGTCATTTTTTATGCCTGGCATAAGAATAATATAGTTATTTAATTGTGTTTGCAGAATACAGCGCTACATTTAGCCACAATGGAAAATCAACCAAACGCTATAGCATTCCTATTATCAGTCGGCTGCAAACTTTCTTATAATCAAATGGATATGAACGCTATTGACTACGCAATTTACTACAAGTTTCCAGAGGCTGCGTTGGCAATGGTTACTCACGAAGAAAGGTAAATATTAAGTTTTAGTGGAAGACGAATAATATTATTGATTTCAGAAGTTACGCAATACCATAGATATCGGATAGAATTGATACGCTTTGTTGACATTAAGTTTGTCCGTAACATAAACCTCACGAGAGTGTATTCACATGTTGTCAAATCTGTTCTCTCAGAAATGTATAGTTGTTTAAAACTTTTAATAATATTCTATCTCTCTGTATCTGGGTTAATACACGGCACCTATGCCTCACTAGGCCCGTTGTGCATCGTTCTAAGTAGATAGGCACCTCCTAGTTCGTGAGTCAGCCTACAAATTTAATAAAGATGACAACGTCGCCAAGAAATATTTCTCTTATATCGGCCGATGTTAGCCAATTCTCGCCGAAAACAAATTTTCTAATAAATGAGAGAGACGGGCCATTGTAGAAGATATGCTTGATGATGTTATTTTCCTGTTCGTTTTAGAGATTTTTAAACTTGTATTATATTCTGTTGATACTGAAAAAACATTCTGGTCCATAACTTTTAAATTTGGCCGTTTAGGATATTTTGTCAAAAAAGCATTTGTCGCGGCATATGTTGCACGAATAGTACGCATGAAAGGAAGAAGTAGGTATCTACACATGAAATAATATAGAATAGTTTAATAATTTGTTTCTGTATAAATAGGTGAATTGTGAAAAATATAAAAAAATTAAAGGAAAAGGAAAACTCAATTTTTTTATTGACTAATTTTGTCCAACGACCATCGTTAGGCATAAAATGTGTGAAATGAGTGGTGCATAGCGTCAAAATGATGAATGTAATGTAAGTTGATGTTCACGCAGCTCGAGTGGCCCTAGAACAGGATGAAACAGGAATCACTGTTTAAACGATCTATTGTTTTAATGAAAGATCAAACGACTTACCTGTCAGGAAGTTCGTTCTAAATTATATGAGTAACTCGTCCAAATAGATATTACACATGTAGTACCATTATTACACTTTATCGAGCACAATTAAAAAGAGTCAATCACCAAAAATTAGACAAAAAAATACCTTCTTATCAGCCACTACGTTACCTGCCTCGTTCCTACGTATTCATTTTATTACATTGTTTGCATAAAAAGAAAATATGTATAAAAAGAAAACAACAAAAATAGAATTTGTAGGGTGGGTTTCGGGCCTATCTATTTGGACGAGTATACTCATATAATTTAGAACGAACTTCCTAACAGGTAAGTCGTTTGTTCTTTTAGTTATATTTCGTATACTAATCCAAATAGATATTACACATGTAGATGTTTAAAGATGTGTCTATCTTTTTTCTTTTTATAGAAGCAATATTTAAAAAAAAATTTCGATTTATATAAATTATACGAGAAAATGTAACATGTTTACCTACAAAAGAAATCTAGGTAATACACATTTTAAATAATAACTGGTTTCCTAAATGCTCTTACCAATCAAAAAAAAAATTATCTTGTATAAATTTAAGTATAACACTAAACTAAAAAAATATTTTTTTTTAACGGTATATTATAAAATTTTTGACAGCAGTCATTCTTATCGTATTTTTTATTTGATCCATATTGAGTCTCCTTCTTATAAATCGCTGAGGAAGTTGCGTTTCTAGTACTATGAGTATTATGAGGGTGGATCAATTATGAACCGACCTTTCCCGCCTGCGAGCAAGATACAAGCAGGAGAGAGGTAAGGAGCTATGTTAGGGGGGAAGGTAGTCTGATGTGTCACGAATGCCGGTACCTGTCCTGTAGCTGCACACAGTGGGTGGATATTATGATGAGCGAGAGACCAGTAACATTTTCCGTTGCGCAACGCATCGTCATCAAATTTCTGACCAACGAACGTGTTGGTCCAGCGAAAATTTGGTAGATATTACATAATTAGTATGAGGAATCAATATTGTCCAAAACACAAGTTAAATTTTGAGAAGGACGAGATGCTCTACAACATGAAACTCATCAACGCCGTCCACATACAAGAACTACACATGAAAACATTGATGCCATTCGAGATCCTGTTGCCACAGATCGTCAAGTATCCATAGCAGAAATTCAAAATACAGTGGGAATAAGCTATGGGAGTGCCCAATCCATCATTAAGACAAAACTTCAGAAAAATTTCTGCAAGATGGGTTCCAAGACTCTTATATGAACATCAACGAACTGTTCATGTTGAAATTTCTCAAAGGCTGCTGATGAAACTTGGGTGCACCACTAAACACCTGAGTCTAAACGATCAAGTAAGGAGTGTAGACAAAAAGGCGAAGCTGGCCCAGTAAAGGCAAAAACTCTGGGTAAAGTTTTAGCGACAGTGTTTTGGGATTATAGAGGTATTTTGTTGGTGGATTTTTTTTACGATAGACGAACCGTTAATGCAGCTTATTATTGCGATCTTTCGGATCGTGTTCGAGCAGCTTACCAATCCAAAAGACGGGGATGTCTGGTACGTCAAGTGCTGTTCTTGCATGAACGGAGTAATCAGACGAAAGTCTACTTGATTTAGGACTAAAGATACCTGGAACATGCCCCAGGATGAATTGCTAAAGAAATACAGTTTTGTGAAAAACTTCAAAACCACAGAGCTGGGCTGCAAGAAAGAATGGAGCTAAGAATCCATTGCGCTTGCAACCAAAAGACGTGCTATTGAGTGGTATACGGACGGTTCCAAAACCATAGAAGGAACTGGAATAGGAGTGTATGGGCCGAGAACCAAGCACTCCGAAAGCTTGGGAAAATACCCAAGCATCTTTCAGGCGGAAATTCACGCCATCGAGAAGTGTATCCAGTTTAACATCAAGAGAAACTATCATAGACAAGACATTATCATCATGTCCGATAGTCAAGCAGCCATCAAAGCGCTGAGCTCTTACGTAATCAGCTCAAAAATGGTCTGGAGATGCCTAGAACAATTAAATGAGCTAGGCGAGAAAAATAAAGTTACTCTCACTTGGGTCCCGGGACATAACGGGGTACAGGGTAACGAGATTGCAGATAGTCTTGCACCCTTTGTAGGACCTGAGCCGTTCTGTGGTATCAGCAGTAACATAATATTAGGAGAGATTAAAAAAGAATTGGGCAATAGAAGAACCAATAATTGGAACAATCTCTTGGGGCTGAGACATGCCAAGATACTTCTGGGTGAATATAATCAGAAAAGATCGAAAGCCTGCATCTTCCTGAGCAAGACCAGGCTACGTATTGTAACGTGGATCCTTACCCGGCATTGCCGACTAAAAAGACACCTAAGTAAACTGAGAGTAGTAGAATAGTGAGTGCAGATTCTGTGGTGAGGAGGAGGACGAAACCTCCATTCACATCCTAACTGAATGTGTAGCACTTAAGGATCCAAGGGCACTATATCTAGGAGGATATCAAATAGAAGAGGGAGATTTACCTAACTTGAAGCCACTTCAAATCCATGATGTGCCATACATGGTACATTATCTATTTGAAATTAAGATGTGGAGAAGTACAAGGGAGGGGGTTGACACATGACAGATGTTTGTATTGTAAAAATGTCTTTAATTTGGAATAAAAATCGACCTGTTCTAGAATTTTCTTAAAATCCAATGATTAATGCTGAAAAACAGCATGAAACTGTTTTAAATGACCCACTCTGTATATCAAAAATGGCTAGATATATCGAATTAGTTCATAGAACAAAATCTGCTTAAAAATGCATTTTTTACAAGATGCGCTACACAAGAAAGATCCTCCCATCGAAAAAAAATTATTGAGCGCAGCATCATCTACATATTAAAATCAATTATATCTAAAACTGAAACTCCCTTAGTGATCTGTGAACTGGCTTTTACAGAATTAAAATATCTCCTATTACTTACCAAAATATCCGGCCTGGGAGTTTTTATTGGTGTATACCTAATATGCCAGTCTCAAGTTTGTGTTTTAAATTCTCAATCATGTGTGTTCTGTGTAGGCTTTGTTACTGTTTCCCAGCGCCATTTCAGGAACAGCACTGTTAATTAGAACCCAACAGTGAATGGTCGAGTGGGGAATCCTACCAAGGCATAAGAATTAATTTTAAAAAATTATATATTTTAACTGCTGAATCTATGTCTATTATATATTTTTTGTTTAGTTTTTGAACCAATTTTAGGACCCTCATATGAATTATATTTAGGAAAGCTTAGTTTTAAGAAAACGATTAATGAAAATTACTTTCCCGTTAGAATAGTTTTAGATAAGGAACATGCTCTGTGAATTTAACGTGAAAGATGCTCTATTTAAAAATAAATCATTAAGGAAGGAAATAACATTTTTCCAACATCTGCTTTATACATATCAAACTCTTTGATTACAAAATATAGCTATATCGATATGTGTTAGTTAGTTATATTTGCTATTTAAGTTAACCGACGATCAAGTAAAAAAGGATGAGGCGCTTGAGCGATATGAAGAAAGTAATTTATGAAATCGTATACCCCCCATTTAATTAATTAATGCAATCCTAAGAAAATATTAATTTGTGTTATTTTCAAGTAACTTCAGGAAGCTTATACTACTAGAACACTCTTGCTTATCTAGGTAATGTAAATGTGGCGCATTATTTTATTTTAGATATAGAGTTGGAAAAATCACAAAATATGATTTAAGACATTTGGCTGCGGAATGTTTAAATGCAGTTTTTAAATCCAAACAATTTTTTATATATTATTTTTCGTTATTATTTCAAAATGAAGATAGTTTTACTTTACACCAAATTTTGATGTCTAATGATTTCAGATAAGTAGACTATCCAGAACTGTTTATAAAAAATTTATTTTTTTATTAAAACCAATAATTAAAAAAAGTTGGCGTCAATAATGATTTGCTCCGTTACTAATTTGTATAGTTTTTACTACCTATTAAAATGGAAAAATAATTTTATGAATTTAAAAAAAAATACTAAAACTATTTTTTTTTCTGTGACGGGAAAAAGTTTTACATTTTATCTATCTTTTGTCAGGTAACAAAATTACTTTTTTCCCTGTTTCCAGGGAAAAA